TATAGTGCCCTATAACAACTAGTTGTCAAATATTGAATCTTTTTCTTCCATGAACAAAAAATTTTCAATATTATTCTGAATTTCCGTCCAATTTCAATCGAATTTTACTCAAATACAAATTATGAAGAACTAATAAATGTTKWCCATATTGTTATTTAATAGTTATTTTTAAAAATATTTCCAACACTTTTGGTTCAAGAAATATTTAGACCGTTTTGGACAAACGTTTTTTTCATCTTTTTTTTCGCCAATCTTATCACGTGACACGGTGACGCCTGCACTGCAGTGGCTCCGGGCTGGTATCATCGAAACTTCATCTCCATTCTCCGGACTCGGCGAAATCCTATTCTTTTCATTTTACCTCTGCTTGTGCAYACCACCTCAGACCTCAAATCTAAACTCGCAGTTTTTGGTGTTCTATCCATTTTTGGACTTTCTTGTGTATTCAAAGGTAAGTCATAACTCAGATCTTCGTCAAAATGGAATTTTTCAGCTCAACTGTCGCCTGACCCTTAAGGGTTATTGCCCGATTGCCGGTAGCGTGATTTAGTGTCTTCGAAATGACATTCCCCCGCACACTTCCGCCATCGTGTATTTGACAACCGCGTTAACGCTGCTTGGAGAAATTGTATTCATTTTTTTATTGTGAAAATATAATTTTATTTTCATCTCATTTCTTTCAGAGCTCCACTAAAAATATCTATAAAAATGGCTCCTCCTTCATACAGTGATCTTGGCAAAGCCGCACGTGACGTATTCAACACTGGTTATGTATTTGATGTACTCAAGTTAGACTTGAAGACCAATCAAAACGTGGAAATCAAGGCTGGTGGTACACAACATTTAGTGTCGGGTGCCGTAAACGCCAATTTGGAAACCAAATATGTGATTAACAAGTCTAAATACTGTGAGTCATTCCCAATTAAAGGTCATTTAGTTTTTTCATATTTCCCCTTATCTTGTTAGTCAAACAATGTAAATTGATTTAGATGAATATGCAAATTGAAGTAATCAGTATACTTAAATACTTAATGTTAAGTACTTATTATTAAGTACTCTGTACTTAATTACTACCAACCTAATTAATTGATCACATTAAAATCTCTACAATTTGTGTTCAATTTTTAATACATTTTTATTTGTTAAGTATTTACATTGGTTGAGAAATGGAACACGAATGATGTTATGACTACTGAAGCTTCTATAAGTGGCTTGTTACCTGGTGTCAAACTTACTACTGATGGTACATTCGACCGCAAGAAACAGTAAGTTAAAATAAAGTTAAATTCAATCAAATTTAATTTGTCTATAATTTTAATTTTCCTAAGATCTAAGGCTGTGAGAGTGAAGTCTGAATACAAAAATGACTATGTTTCACTCAACTTGGACACTGAATTTAAGGCACTGAAACCTGTTATTAATGCCTCTGCTGTAGTTGCTTACAATGGTATATAAATTCTACTTAATATATTTAAATACTAATTATATATAACTAATTAATTTATTGTTTTGTTTTTTTAGGATGGTTGGGAGGTTTCAATGTTAAATATAATACCAACGACAAATCATTACAGTCTAACAATCTTGCTCTCAGCTATGTAGCTAAACAATTTGTGTTTACCACTACTGTGTAAGTTGAATAACTATAAATTGAACTATTTTTATTATTAATTATTTAATGTTCTACAGAAATGATAACAAGTTGTTTGGYGGCTCAGTTTTCCAAAAATTATCTGATAAATTAGATTTGGGTTTGCAAGTTTCTTGGTCATCTGAAAACAACGATTCTTCACTTGCTGTTGGTTCCCAATACCAACTGAACAATGATGTCAAGTTACGAGCCAAGATCAATAACAAGAGTCAGTTGTGCCTAGGTTCTGGCATTAAAGTCAAAGATGGTGTGTTCCCAAAATTTGTCATAACACAAATAATAAAATAATAATTAACATTATTTTATTTTAGGTGTTACATTGACATTGGCCACCTTATTGGAATGCCGTCAGTTCAACCAGGGAGGTCACAAATTTGGTATTGGCTTGGAACTTGCTTTGTAAGCAATATTTACATGCCAAACTTATTATACGTTATGTAGACAAAATGTATTGTCAGTAAACGTAGGATTATTAAACATAATCATAAGAGTATTTTTACTACATTAAAATTCAGTGTATTTGTTTAAAATTAATTAGGAAAAATATAATTTATATCAGTTTCTCTCGTTATAATGTCATTTGATCATCTAAATGTTTATTCATCCATTCACGCACTTTTGGATCTGCAGACATAAGTTCAATTATATGATTGACATGATAGCACAAAGCTTCAATTTTTTTATCCCAAGTTGGCAGTAATTTTTGAGCTATAAAAAAATCCATGTACATATACGAACTATAGAACGTGGGTCTAAACAAATATATTACTTACATTTAAAGTGGACGTAAGATTCTACTTGATCAATCGAACCTTCCATACGTCCTTCAGATATCATTTGTCCTGCGATTTTCTCTGCTTTAATTGGTTCAATGCCCAATAAACGGCCAAGTTCCACAATCTTCATATTTTTATAAAGTTTACTTGCKGATAACAAGTTGTGTTCTATAATAGCTCGATTCAATATAGTTGAACCTATAATATTAAAAATAGTAATATGATTTTATAGTGTCATTGCAATTAATGATTACCATCGACTGTTTTTGCCTTCTGATGTGGTTGTAACATTGCATCTAATTGAGCGATTTCATTGGGTCGAATAATGCGATCTAAATACATTTTTTCGAGGATTGAGAATTCTGGCAGACTTTGACATCTCTCATCTTTAAATAATGTTGCCAGCATTCTACTGCGTTGTTGGCCTACAAAAATCAGTAAAAAAAAAATAAAATTATTTTATCATCTTACATAATATGTGGGGCACAGTAAAAATTAGTTGAAATTAAGACCMAATATAAATGTTTTTACTTAAATTCTTAATTTTCCCTTAAAAATATTGATCAAAAAAAATATATATAAGCTTTATTAACACTCATCCTATTGTGATGAATCAATTTATGCTTTGTTCCACACATAAGAGACTGAGGATATAATTTGGAACAATAAGTGATTCATAATGACTTACCAGCAGATGCTAATACTGTACAAATAAGAGCGTTTTTTAAAGCAGCCATACGCTCTTCTTCTGATATAATCGACCTATATGACAATTCATTATACCTTTGAGCTGCTTCAATAAACTTGCGACGGTAGTCCAAAACTCTTGCGTAACATACTTTATAACATATCTGTAGTTTCTCATTTTTAGATTCAGTCTAAACGATAAGCAATTAAAAATAATTCTTTTCTTTTAAGTAACTAACTAAAGGTCGTTTAATATTACTTGTAGTAGTGAAGCYCTGTTGATGTAAGACTCTGCTAACATTGGATCATCATCCTCTAAATATAGCCGTGCAATTTTCATATAAGTTTCCAATTTATAATCAACAGTATATTTCCTATAAGTTATAAGTTCTTAGTTGCATTGTTATTACAAAAAAAATCACATTAATGAATACTTTTGTCCTGTTTCAAGCGGTATACCAACAAGTACTGATGCAGCTTCTTTCCAATTGTTTTCTCTTTCATAAATTGATGCTAAATGTTGACGAACATTAGCAACTTGCTCTTCAAAAGAAATTACTCTTGGTTGAATCTATAAAAAAAAAATAATTTATTGATYATACAACAGACTGTATCTAAATATTCTTACTTTTTCTAGAGTGAAATGAGCCAATAATTTAGACTGTCCATCGGGCAAATCAGGTAAGAGTTGTGTACTAACATCAGATAATATTTGACGAGATATTACCAAACTGACATTTTCGTTGACAACTAATCATATGAAAAATATATTGATTTAATTGAATATAATTTATAACTAAAATACTAGTGCAATATATAAAAGCATGTCAAACAACTACTTACTAGCTTCAACAAATACTTTTAATGCCTCAATGATATTGTCGCCAGTGTTCGATAAAACGTTGTTTAATAAACTTCTATATCTATAACAATTTAATGTTATTGATTAACATTATTAGTTTCTGAAATATCTAATTAAACTTACTTATCGACTTGATCTTTATGAGATGTTTGAGCGTTAGCCAAGTGACTGAGATGTTGGCGGATTTGAGCTATTGTAAGAGACATTTTTTAGACTGAGTTATGACTTTTAAATTTAAAAAATTAAAGTAGTTTGTACTGTCGTGGGTTACGARTTAATAGAATAATAATAAAAAAACATATTAATAATAAACAAGTAATTTTAAATTATGACACAACTCAATTCGTAGATTAGAATTTATTTCTGAGCACGGCTTCACTATCAGCAATATTCGTGATTCTGAGATTCTACTCAAATCTTGGAATAATCAATGTTGTTATAACCACTTTTTGGATCATGGTTTTAGATTAAACATAAACACTGTATACTTCGTCTGCCGAGACTCCGAGAGCGGTAACCAAAATACGAATAGCTCTTAACAGGAAAAATTGTTTGTAGAATCCATGACGTCATAACCCTTGAAACTATGATAACAGTGATAACGAAAATATTATCAATACCCATTTAGTTTTTCAACTGAAAATTTAAATTTTCTTATAAGTTTATTAAGTTTATTTCATTATTTTTTCAAATAGTATTAATTATGATAATTTTTATTATTCTCTTTTCCCTATTTCTCTATATTTTTCACACAAATAACACATCTTCGTAAAATTATTAATAACTTTGTTGTGCTCTGAATCTAAAACATAAATTAATCAATTAAGTTATCTTAATGTAGTTTAGTATTAAATAGTTATGAGTTTAACAAGTTTACACCACAAAAACATTAATTACAAAATACATAAGCATTGTCAATTTTCATWATTACTGAGGGAAATAAGACAATATAAGAATAATAAAAGCAATTTAATAATATTACAACAAATGAAATACAAATTTAAATTATTGTTTATTTTAAARGTATGAATGATCAAATGTTGGTGTATTGCTGATATCTAATGTTTCTTCACTAAATGCTTTAACAATTCTCTCATGTTTTTTTTTTTTAATAAAACGTGCTTGAGGTTCAATTTTTCTCTTTTTATTATCATGTGTTTTCTTAAAATCTGTATCTTAAGATATTTTATTAATTACTTTGTCAAACTGCTTAATAATGTATTCTTGATCGACTTTGTTTAACCTTGTTTGATTCCATAAACCTTATTATGATTTCAAGTTTATCTTTGATTTCTTGATCTTTTGAATTTGAATATCCAAAGTATAGTCAAAGAGCTCCAGAAAATGGTGGTTTTAATGTTGAAATAAATGGTAAGAAAATTTATAATCACTTGGGTAGTGACGTATAACCCAGTGCTTTCATGTATATTCGGTGCTCATATTAATTTGGATTACTGTGACTGTAAAATCTATAAAATACATTTGTAAAAATATTACAAAAGGAAGTGATCAAGCAGCATTTGGTTTYGAAAACGATAATGATGAAGTCAAACTTTATGAAAATAATCAATATACCAACAGCTCTGAGGCTGTATAGAGAATTCTGGCTTTTCCTATCCATGAAATTTCCAACAGTCTTCCATCTTTCTGTGCATTTAGAAAACGGCCAGTGTGTATATTTCAACCCTAATGACTCCAATYGTTTAACAAACATGATTAACAAYCCACTAAAAACTACTCTTTTACCATTTTATGACTTATGTAGAGCAGATGATTTTGCAAAAACCCTTTTTTATGTTGATGTTCCCTCTTACTATGTATGGAAAAATTACCATTAAACCTAACAAGAGTAGAGACCTGTGCGATATTTCCAAACAGAGTAATATAGCAAAAGTTCTAAAAGACTAAGTTAATAATTTGAGATGAATGCACAATGGCCCACAAGAGTGGCTTTGAAGCTCTTAATAGAACATTAAAAGATATAAGAGGATATGATTTTATGGGTGGAGTCACTGTGCTGCTAACAGGAGATTTTTAGCAAACATTACCCGTTATATCTAGGGTATAAGCACAGATTAGGTATATAATATTATATTATATAATCTGTGGTATAAGCTTCGTATTTGTGGCCACACATCCAGAAAGTTGCACTTCATAAAATATGAGGGTCCATTTGAAAGGTGACACATCTGCTGGGATTTTCGGTGAGATGTTACTTAAAATAGGAGACAAATTTCCCTTCATTGGAAGGTGATATCACTATTCYCTCAAATTTGAGTACAGTAGTTAGCTCTTATCAGAACTAACTTACAGAATTTACCCAGATACAATAAATATCAAGATGAAACCCATCAAATGGTTATGCCTTGTGCAAGCGAACCATCTTAACTCCAAACTCCAAAGTATGATAAGGCAGCYGAAATCAATGAAATTCTAGTAAAGGYTGTTRAATATAAATCTTTTGATTCAGTGATCCATTTGGTCCATGCTGTCCATTACCMTTTTGAATTTCTTAATACTCGGAATYCTTCTGGTTTTCCATCACATAAACTTATCTTTAAAATTGGAGCACCTATAATGTTTCTAAGAAATCTTAACCCAACTGATAAAATAAAAGTAATAGTAGATAACACAAAAAACTTTACATGGGTGAACSGAGTTATTCATCTAGAATTATATATTTATAATGATGGTGGTGAATCATGATAGGCATTTCCCACTAATCTAATTAATTATTAATCAATAAACATACACAATATACTTATTACTGAARAAAATACCAAGCATGATCAATGCCCACCCCTATTTTCTGTTTGAATAATGAATTTATTCATATTTTAATTATTGGAATTTTTAAATATTTAAATATAYATATCTACCCTTAACTACATTGGAAATATGAACATTATTTACAAATACTGCAGAGTTTTTTTGTATAAGAGTACTCTTGGGCATTTTTTTTTAACAAAGACACGAATAATAGTTAATCAAATTAGTTTTTTGAAAAATATTGACGTTTTTAAATCCATTGGATGATCTGAACAATAGTTAAATACTAACATCTTTTGAATTATTTTTATTTTTGTTTTTGTTTATTATGAACAACAAACAATTTAGGGCTGGATCTGTTTAAGTATAAATTCTATCCATACAGCAATGTCCATAGAAAATRTAAGGTTATCAAACACATTGTAGCAGCATAACAGTTATCCTTTGAGAAGTCCCTACTTTTACTTA